TCTTGATTTAAGTCTGTAAATCTGATGCAGTAATCTCTGTGAAAGCATACCTTCTGATTCTTCCGGAAACTAACTATCAAGCATCGTAGCTCACACATTATGCATGTACTGACGTTTTTAATTTTCATAAGATTTCACTTCCAAACAATAGTCCTGGAACCTAACTGCATTGTCATTGTCATGGATTGCATCATTTCCTTCCAATTGCCTATCTTTCCTAGGCAGCATTTACAATGACTACTGACACACAATCGCACATTAAATAGAGACTTTAAATGGATGGCAGTTATAACTCACGGGAGTGATTGTGGATTCGAAGCTGTGGGTGGCGGCTCCATCACGCACTTATTGAGGGCAAAGAGGGTTGAGAACCACGCCTCATTCTCATACTCCGAGGGATCATCCGATGTTTTTACATTTAGGTCTTCCAATGAGTCTATTCTTTCCTCCTCCTTCTCGTCCTCCTCAACCTCTTCCTTCTCCTCCTCCTCCTGCTCGTCCTCCTCTTTCTTATTCTCTTCATTTGCATCCGCTTTGCTCCTTCTCCTCCAATTTTCAGAGTCAAAGGCCAAATGCAACTTTAGCATACTCATATTGTCCCAAAATTGGGAGTTGCAGACCTCTAGCACGACCTCCAGAATAGCCGCCTCCTCCGTCTTGTAGTCCATTGGGTCCTGATCAATGATTGAAGGACGTTCAGAGAAACTCACCAAGAGAGGACCGTAGAGCTTTGCCAAAATGCCTCTCGTAGAGATGGGATTGGCGCCATGCTCCCACGCATGTTGCAAGTGGAACATCATGAATGCCAGAGTGTCCATTGTAGTTCGATTACATGGCAATGCGGTGTGACGAACTAGGGTCTTTATGTTTGGATTTGGACGCAAAAAGAGATCAAATAGCGGTTTTTTAATTACCTCCTTGAGGACTTGTTTATTGAAGTGAAGAGGTTTTTGTTTGAAACCCGCGAGAAGAAATCTAAGAGTAGCTATTTTTAGTGGTAGAGAAAGCGCATCTACTTGACGCTTCACGTGGTGATGATGATTCCAGTTTTGGATAAGGAGACAAGCATAGAGTTCCACCAAGCTATTTTGGGTGCAGATGGACTGGTTGAAGATAATATCCCAGCCCAGACGGTTGCAATCGGCTTCAATGGCGTTGACGAGGACCTTTAGGATGTACGGCACAAAGGGGGCTTTTAATGGTCGAAAATCAGCCAAAGAAAGCTCATGTTTGATTAAGGCGTCTCGAACTACATCAGAGACACCCAAAGCAAGCGTCTGCTTAAAAAGTAGTTCTTTAGAAAGTTTCTCATCTTCCTCAAGCAAAGCACTACGAAGGATGATAGATGAACGCCTGTTTTTTGAGGATGCCTTATCTCCCAGTTGTCTGCGCCTAATTTTTTTGGTGCGAGGCGACTTCTGTATGGTTTCAGGCGAGATGGGATCGGCATCCGCGGTAGGGAGAACATAGTCACTGCTGGCAAGAATCTGCAGATACATGGTTAAAGCTGACCTGTCGATCTTTCCGATGATACGCTGATGTGGATCTGCAGCTGAAGGCGCAGTAGGAAGAGGATCAAGAAGGCGTTTTGAGGGAGGAACAATTTCTACTACCTCATTTTTTGGGATGGGCTTCTTCGACTGAC